TAATCTAGCCAATATCTCATTTGTGAAAGTGTGGAAAGGAAGAAAGCAGACCTTGGAAAAGCAGATCCACTATTGGGTGCCCCTTCCCCATTGCCATTAAACTTCTCTAGACATTGCCCCATTGATGTTAGAGCTGTGATGAAAAGAGAATGTGTTCAGATACACCTGGAGAAAGCATGGATGTGAAGGATCCATAGACTCCCCTGTTCCCCCAACATGCACACCCCCAAATATGGAGAAAACTACACCAGCCCTGGGGCTAATCCAATTTATTGTTCTTCCATCATTCCTAATGGAAGAAAGGCTTTAAAACGTGGACACACAAACTTGAAAAGGAATGGAGAATTGCAGGCTGCTGATCTGCCCTCACTTCCATTTTGGTTGTGCAAGCCCACCAAGGTGGTTTGACCACCTTCCATTCTCTGCTCTTGTCCCGCACAACCTTAGGATTTCAGGGTAATTCATGAGAATTATATTAACATCCAATCTGAATGTGGGTCTGAGGTATGCCAACTTCATTGTAGACATTTAGGAGTGCTCAAATAGTAATGCAAAAGTCTCTGTACTTGCATCAGTTATAAAGAATTTGTCTCACCAGGTTCACAAACAACTCTTCATCCAGAAACACCAAACGTCAAAAGAGGCTGTAATGTTGCCAGAAGACTCTATTTGAAAAAGTTCTAAGGTGCATTGTGACTTATGAAAGGCTATAAAAGAATCTGATATGTCACAGATTGCATTTGTATAGGATAACAGTGGACACACAACAAAATATTGTGGTGTATCTTTAACACTGTGGTGCTAAAATGTATCTGTTCTGGTCTCACTAGAACTTCAGAGAGGAACATTTGCTACTACAGTGGTACCTTGGCTCTCAAACGCCTTGGTACTCAAACAACTTGGAATCCAAACACAGCAAACCCGGAAGTAAGTGTTCCGGTTTGCGAACTTATTTCGGAAGCCGAATGTGCTCCATTTTGAGTGTTACGCTGAGGTATGTCTGTTTTTGCAATTTATTTTACGGCGTTTTTGTTTTGTTTTTGTGACTGTGTGGAACCCAGTTCAGCTACTGATTGATTGATTGTGTGACTGCAGTACATTGTTTATTGCTTTCATTTTATGGATCAATGGTCTCATTAGATAGTATAATTCATGTTAAATTGCTGTTTTAGGGGTTGTTTTTAAAAGTCTGGAATGAATTAATCCATTTTGCATTACTTTCTGTGGGAAAGCGCACCTTGGTTTTGGAACACCTTGGTTTTGGAACGGACTTCTGGAACGGATTAAGTTTGAGATCCAAGGTACCACTGTAGTACTATAGCATTCCTGTTTGTGGCAAAATGATGTCCAAAACTAAGAAAGTGTGCCCTAATTTGCAGTGCAATACATGCAAGTTTTCCTTCACTGATTTGCAAACACTTCAGTCAACAGAATCCGATCATTTAATCTACCAATTAAAGTGATTAACTGAGCAATTGTTTTATTGTTTTATTTCATCAATTTATACCCCTACCTTTCAGAAAGACTTAGTCAAATGGCAGCAAGGATGAAGATATAAACTAAGCATAAAACAGCAATTTATAAATGAATCGTTTCAAACTTCAAAACAACCAACGATGTCAAAAGAGCCAGTGCTGTAAACCAACAATCAGCCCATTGTGACTGTAAAAACATAATATGATAATAAGAAGAACAGCCCCACTAGGTTCAGCTGCCCAATTAAAATAATTCCCCCCCCAAAAAAAAAAAACACAACAGGAGAAAGCAGATACGCTTTCAAGACCTGCTTACAAATTGTAGGAATTGGACTTGTCTCATCTTACTCATATTTACTCAAAGTCCCACTGTGTTGAATGAGCCAGATTGCAGCCTCAGTGTTGTAGCCTTAGAAATTACTTCCAAGAAATTGTGTAAGAACTTTAGAAAGGGGTTACTAGTTTTTCTTATACTCTTATGCCACTCTAAACAGGAAGATGAGTGCCAGGCAAAGTATCTGAAAGCTTCTTCACTCAATGTTGAATTATAAATACAGAATATTTCAGCTTCAAAATGTTCTCCCATCTAAGACTTTGGATATCTTTTTTTAAAAATGAGTTTTAATAATTTAAAATATATCATGATTTTGATTTTTTTTTTCCTGGGTGCAACTAGGGAAATGTTAATGTCCTTTGTGGCATTTTCGGGTTCTAATTGGCCAACGCCTTTGCAATCTAATGCTTTTCAATGGACAAGTGGCCTAGTTGTCAGGACAGTTGTCAGGCATCTTTTGTTTTCTCTGCAATTTGTTGCCCAAAAATGTTACAGTAATGATAGAAAGTGACATTATTTTAAAAGATAAGGCCCAGCAACATTATTTTCTACCTGACCTTTACAGTTACCAGAACAAGCAGCTTTTATTAGCAAACTAGTTCAAGCTTTTTATTACAAAGGATATTTGCCATTTTTCCATGAGAGAAATATATAGTTCTTGACAGGGGAAGTTATTAAGGCTTTCTTTCTCTTCTGCTGGGCTAACGTGTGTGGCTTTTAATAGCAAAAATAGAATCCTGGAGTATTTTAAGATGAAGAAGCAAGCTGACTGTGAGAGACAGGAATGTTTAATATATTACACTTTCTGAATGTATTAATATAGTTTTACGTCAATGACAGCAGTATACTGAAACAAATAAGATGGCTTCACCTAAAGGCACAAGGAGATATATAGTTGACCTTTAGCCTCCCAGCTGCACATTTACATGGAGGTTCGTATATTATAACTGTCATGTGTATATTATTATAATGCAACTTTCAGGTTTAATCTGACAAAAGATCACAGATAAAAGTAAAGGGACTTTTAAAGATTATTTTTATCTGTGACATTTTAATAGCCTTGTGCTAATCAGCAATTTTTGTATTTCCAGATAGAAATTCAGTGTCCTTTAGTTTGTTTTTTCCCCTCAAAGGGTGTTGCTAAAAAGCGCGTTTTAGAGCTGTTCTTTGGCTCATCTCCACAATTAGTGTAATCTGGGTTGACTAACAAACTTTGGAGAATATTTAAAATATGTTTCAGTACTCTATTCCTTTCATAATTCAGCAGGCATCTTCTGTGTCAGCTTTTAAACACTTGCTGAAAACTTTTCTGTCCCGCCAGGCCTAAGCAGGCCAATTAAGAGTATACCTCCTAAAATGGTCTATTAATATTCGTTTTTAATTTATTTTGGCTCTTAATATGATTTTAACTTTTTACGATGTTATTGTTTGGTTTCGTGTTTTTATATTGTTGTAAACCGCTGTGATACAGCTTTACGCTACAGCAGTATATAATAATAATAATTATTATTATTATTATTATTATTATTATTATTATTATTATTATTATTATTACTTATACCCCACCCTTCCCGGTTCAGAAAACTGGGCTCAGGGTGGCTAACAACAAATTTAAAACACTTAATTGTGATACAACAAAAAACAGCATAAAATACAGTATAAAAGCATGAATAACAATAAATTCAAAGTTCAAAAATCAATTTAGGGGAAAATCCATCAAATAAACATTAGATGATCACCAGGGCTAGCTGGCTAAATTAGTCCTGTTTGGGCCAGCAAGGAGGCCAGGGGAGAATTAGCTGTGGGATCCCAGAGTGGGTAATCTTCACTAAAAGGGGAGGGGGAGGGAAGGAAGGGGAATAAAAGATCAGGCTAAATTCAAATTGAAAGCCAGGTGGAATAGCTCTGTCTTACAGGCCCTGCAGAAGGAGGTTAAATCCTGCAGGGCCCTGGGCTCATGGGACAGAGCATTCTACCAGGTCGGAGCCATCATTGAGAAGGCCCTGGCCCTGGTGGAGGATAATCTGACTTTTTTATAAGTAAATAAATAATCAGGAAGGCCAGGGCTGCAACTCTGGTCATGGGAAGTGCATTAAAAACAAGCCATTCTTCCACCATCAGACATTTCACATGACAATTTTGGGCAAAGGAGCCAGTTCATTTATGGGCTCAGTTGAAAGGACTTGTGTTACCATTTAAAACCTAAATAACTTAGGTCCAAATACTGGAGTTAAGACCTCTCAAGAGTGTGGGATATAACATTCCTAGAGAGGACTTTCTCTACACTATGGCACCACAGAAGTGCTTCTAGCATCTTCATTGTGTGGCTTTCACCGTGCGCTGTAGATGCACCTCTTTACCCCGGCCTCTGACAGTGAGGGGATTTTGTTTCATGGGACCCACCTTCTTTGTTGCATTTACATCACTGCCTTCCATTTGGTTCAGTTTCACATGTAGTGGTTTTATTTGTTTTTATAATTGTATATTTTGTTCTTGTAACAGAATATAGCAATATTGCAAGGGGTGGGCGATCTTAAAAATAATTCAGTGTTTCAAATGAAACCACAATGGGATGGGGATGATAGAGGAAATAGTATCACAGGGGTGAGTTTGGACTTTTCTTCAGGCAGCTAAATATACCTTGGGCCAGCACTGATTCCCTGCTATCATTCCAATCCCCCTCCTCGTTTTTCCTGTAGCTCTCTTTGGGAGTTGTAAACCTTCTGGTAATTCTCTTTCAATTGCCTGTGGGAGAGTCACGGAGTAGCCATTCTCCTTCGACAGAATCGGACGGAGTTTGCAGGAATACTAGAGCCTTCATTGGTTCAAATGTAGAAATAATCTTTCCCTCAGCAACATGTACTCAAAGACAGAAACATTGCAAGATCCAATCACTGATCTCTCATATAACATCTTCTTTGGGCATCATGTTTTTGTCAAATATGGCAGCTTTCTTGAGTACAGGATAAGAGTCGAAACAGAGCTGAGCACAAATATAAACCACATTTCTTTTCCTCTTTACTTCATCAGTTTGCTGGGTTAATATTCTTTACTTTGTAGGTGGTAATGTAAGCAGACAAGAAATAAGTATAAAATCCCTTATAGCTGCATGGGTGATACATAAAAGCGATACTATCCTCTACTTGGAAAATTCTGAGGAACTATCATTTAGCTGGAATGCATAATTTGGCTGGAAATGAGCTGGAAGTCCACTGTGTTGTGTTCCTGGAAGTTACAATCTGTATAAGGACAGCAAAGAACTGACTTCATTGACCATTTTGTGTGTGTGTGTGTGTGTGTGTGTGTGTGTGTTTGGTGGATGGCATAATATTTCCACTTGCATTGGTTTCCTGGCATGAAAATGTTTATAGCGCTCATTAGCTAAGAGGATGTCGGCACTGGTCCAATGAACACAGATCTGCCTTCTGATTTTAGCCATTAAATTGCAATGGGATTCATAGGCTTAACATTGTGGGTGTGAGAATAATAAAATGGATCTCCATCTTTAGCCCAGTTACCATGGATGCAGATAAAGGTCATAGTGGCAGCTGCTAACCGCTTGCCTTTTTAGCTGTTTTTCCTATGCTGCTTATATCTTTTCGTGAAAAATATGTTTAGTATAAAGTATACTCCACTCGCTTCAAGTTGAATGCCCCCCTTCAGGCACTAAATATGGTCAATAAAGGCGCCTAATTTATTCATTTATTCAGAGGGCTAGCTATGTTAGTCTGTTGCAGCAAAAACAACAAAGAGCTTTGTGGCTCCTTAAAGGCTAACAGATTAATTGAGGCAAAAGCTTTCATGGACTACAGCCCACTTCTCAAGATGCATGAAATGTTATCTTCGGTTGACAGATATCTATCCATCAACACGGGTAGAGTGGTGGGTAAACAGAGAGGCCCAATGGCACAAATTGCTGAACTGACAGAATAGAAAGAGTTGAATTTGCTGGTAGTTTTGGTCTAGAGCACTCCTTTCGCATCAGAGAAAGGCTACAGCATGAGACCAATGAACTAGAATTTATTGTCACCTTAATAAGACTAGCAAAAGGAATATCATGGCATACGCTTTCATGGGCTAAGGGCCACTTATCCATCAGACACATGGAATGATATCGTGGACTAGGAGAAATAGATACAGTGGGTGGTGGTGGAAAGCAGGATCAAATGAGATGCAAGGATACAGTCTAGGGCTGAGCCAAATACTTCCCTTCATTTTGTGACAATTTGGAAGGTTGAAATTCAGGAGAGGGGCAGTTTTCTTTCAAGAAAGCTGTGAGTAGCCTGGATTGCATCCAGCGAAGTTGCCCTGTGTGTGCAAGGACTTCTACTTGTGCAATGGAACATCTCCTCTCCACCACCCAGTTCCGCCTGCACACATCAGCTTTAGGGGATTGGGGGGAAATTTTAAAAAGATTTGGGTGGTGCACAGATGAGACAGAGGGAGTAGAAGTTCCACTGTACAAGTGGAAGCCCCTGCCTCAATGGGATGACTTGCCTGTGTTGTTGAACCAGGCAGAGGGCCTTCTCTGTGGTGGCACCCACCCTGTGGAACGCCCTCCCATCAGATGTCAAGGAAATAAACAACTATCTGACTTTTAGAAGACATCTGAAAGCAGCTCTGTTTAGGGAAGTTTTTAATGTTTGGTCTTTTATCATGTTTTTAATATTCTGTTGGGAGTCGCCCAGAGTGGCAGGGGAAACCCATCCAGATAGGCGGGGTATAAATAATAATAATAATTATTATTATTATTATTATTGTTGTTGTTGTTGTTGTTGTTGTTGTTGTTGTTATTTGTGTAGTTGATTTTCTTTTCTCTTATATGTATACAGTGGTACGTCGGGTTACAAACACCTCAGGTTACAAACACTTCGGGTTACAGACTCTGCTAACCTGGAAGTAGTACCTCAGGTTAAGAACTTTACCTCAGGATGAGAACAGAAATCGTGCGCTGGTGGCATGGCGGCAGCGGGAGGCCCCATTAGCTAAAGTGGTGCTTCAGGTTAAGAACAGTTTCAGGTTAAGAACGGACCTCCAGAACGAATTAAGTTTGTAACCACAGGTACCACTGTACAGTATAGAGTGTTTGCTTTTAGCTGTAGTAGACCAAGATTTAAATCTTCATTCAACCATAAAACCACTTGGGCAGCCTTAGGCCACCACAGCATTGTTGTTTGGGATTAATTGAAGTATAACAACATATTTAATAAAAACATAATCAAAAATGTAAGTGGGGGCAGCAAAGAAATGGGCAGGGAGTACTCCTGCTCAGGGTGTCAGCCAGCCATGTCAGTTTCCAAGATGCTCCATTCCATGCGCCCCACACATGCTCCCTCAGCTGTTTTGTGTTTTCGCTCATAGTGTCCCAACACCCTCCTTTTTGGAGTCTGCAGATCTTTGAGTTCCTCCCAAGCCTGCTGATATATTCCTCTTCTGTGTAGATGGCAACATGTTGGCCACTTAAGGATCCACACTCTGAAAATTGGGTTCACTGTTAGTATAGGTGAAGATAATAATAATAATAATAATCACATTGGCCATAGACATTACTATAGGAATTGTTATAATAAAAGCTGCTGCAACAATCCAAAGCAGGAAGAAGATTTTATCCATTTGTCTGATTCTTTAGACAATTTATAGCCTCCCTATAGCACTCAAGGTGGCATTTACATAATGGCAGCGTACAAAACAAGAAAGGAAACAATAAAACCTTGTGTAAAACCAGATATCATATGAACAGATCATAATGGCAAGGGGGGTGGGGAATGCCATCAAATAAAATTAAATTGGGATAATGGAAGATATTTAAAGTATGTGATATCCCCTGGAGTTCTTGATGGCTCTTTGGCATTCTTTATTGGGATAGTGGCTATTTTGGTCATATTTCCTGGCTGAAAATATTCTCTAGGATGTATCTATAGCAGGGTGGGAAACCGGTGGCCCTCCAAATACTGCTGGACTACAACTCCCATCATTCCTGACCCTTGGCTATGCTGGCTGAGGCTGATGGGAGTGGCCGTCCAACAGTGCTCGGAGAGCCACAGAAGATCCAGCAGTGGTTTTGATATGCTTCAAAATGGTGGGCATACCTTTCCATTGCTTTGAATGAAATGCTCTTCCAGCGAAGTGGGGGAGGGGGCGTAACTGTTTGCAACTGTGTTGTAGGGATGGCTACCTGTGAGGTAGTGAAAGGAGGGGTGAACTTTGCCTAGTCTCCCTTGCCCTGCAATTGCCTGGCAACTGTGGAATCTGCTCCAGACGGTTGAGGGATGCTCAAGGGCTTGCAGAAAAGGAAACCGCTCCCCTCCTCTCATTAGTGAAAGCATCCTCTGAACCAAAGATCCTTCTATGAATGAGGGCCACGTTTGGATCCAACCCAGCAAATTTGGTGTGCTTTGTTTTGTTCACTGTGTTACAGTAATGTATGTGAGACATATGGTTCCCTTGCTGGTACTTCGCATCTGTTCTTTGGAGAGGGAAAGGTTGGTTGACACCATTGATAATGTCAAAGCTGTGCAAAAAATAACAACAGCAACAACCCACCAGATAAACTCTCTGTTTATCTTTGATAAACTCTTTGAGGCATGTTTTGAGTGACGTTGCTAACTGTGGGTTGTTTGTTATTAAAAGTAATAAAACATTTCAGAAGCCATCCACCTGTATTATTGAAGATACTGAAATAACGATGCTCAGAAGATCGCAGAGTTTTCACTTTTGCTACTACTGCTGCCATATTTTTAATCAGAGGATTTTTGTCTTGTTTCTTGTTTACTGTTGATATTTTCTGGCTGATTGGAGAGGAATGACATTTTGACAATTTGCTGTAGCAGTAAGCACTGTACAAACAAAAGGTGCTGATGAAAACTGGGAACCCATTATTATGTAAATTGTGGCTGACTAACACCGATTCCATCTCCCAGTCACCATCACTGAAACCAGTTTTACTCAATGATAATAATTTTCATGATTGCAGACTTCAGAGAGATCAGAAATAGGCTTTCGCTGTTGCATTTATCTACTGTGGGTACTTGACCCTTAATTAAATTCTGAAACTTTTTATATGATAAAGTAAAATACAGCTGACACTTCTCTTTAAGCAACGAGTATTGAGAATAGAAGAACAGCCTAGCAGGGTAAAGGTATTTCTGAGTTGCATTTTTGCAGTGGGAGTAAACCCAGAAGTTATGCTGTTTGAAACTGAGCTCAGTACTTAAAGAAAATGAAAGTACACCAACTCAGTTTCAAAACACTGTTGGTTTTCTCATTTTAATCTTAATTGTTACTGAAAAAAGTATAGGGCCTGCCTAACTGTATGGATGTCTGAACTTGTACATGCAATATAGCCAAGCATGTGAGGAATGTTATTGACCTATTTTTTTTTAAAAAAAAAGAGCACAGGGGATATTCTGTGGAAGAGATATAGAAGAACATGGAGATTGTAAAGTGGGGATGGGGAACTTGTTGCCCTCCAAACCTCTCTTCGTTGTTCTCTTTGCATCTTTCTGACCAGTTTGACATGTGAGTCAGCTAGCATCTGTAATCTCTTCTGCAGCCAGAATTATTTGGGAGTCAGGCTGGAGGGAGGGGTTGCCTAGAGCCAGCTGACTGGGACCTGAACAAGAGACGAGCTCTGTCCTGGGACAGTCTTCCATCACCCTGAATCAACTTGTGACCAGGTCAAAGGAAGCATCTCCGGTAGAGTCCAGAGTTGGGAGCAGGGCCTGGAAGGAATGTCATCAATCTGTCCCCTATAAAAAGCCTTCTTCACTTCCTTCCTGGAAAAAGAAGGGACTACTCTAGATGCTGGAGAAATGCTGGGTTCTGATGGGAAGAGCAAGAAACAGGCAGAATGCCTGCCCTCTTGCAGAACCGGTTTTCTTTCTCCTGTATTAAGGAAGGAACTGAGACTGAGCTGCCTTCATTTAGGGTAACTACTGTTCCTGTTATTATACTTAAGCTGGGTCTTTTGGGGGTGTTTTTGGCTGTCTGTAAGGTGAGGTCTGGTTGGTGCTAAGCCATGACAGGGCCTTCTTGGGAGCCATTTCCCATTTAGAGAATGCCCTCTGTGGTGCTAGGTATTATCCCTCATTATTAACATTATGGGGGGGCTTAAAAAACATTCCTGCTCAACTAGAAATATACTGTTCCTGGCAACCTTGGAACAGCAGCAGAGGAAACCTCTCAGGCACCTGGGGCGGGGTGCCCCACCCATAGGGATGCGGCGCACGCAGCTTCCCCTAGGGACGTGGCTTCTTCTAGCGACGCAGCGCACGTGGCACCCATGACGGCCCATCCTGTCCACTGTCCGTCTGCTGCCTCCCAGCCCCCCCCCCAGCT